TCCGGCAGTTGGTTTTCCTGATTTTTTGAGGATAACTGGCAAACAAATGGTTGTATACCACTCAGAATTGACTGTTCTGCTTGTCCTAGTGGTACGGTTGCGACATGTCCAGTTTTTCCAAAAGAACAGGCGACCACTTGCTTGTAAGTGCTTCGTGCGCGGACAGCTTGTGTTGGATTTGACTCATCTTGGAATACCCATACGGTCGACTGCTGTTTACTTTAGGGCTCATACGCGTAAACCCATTATATATCACCTGTCGCAAAGTCATAGACGTGTTTCGAAGCACCGCGATCGTATTTTTTTTAGCATTTCTTTCGACGAATCGACACGAGCCTTTTTTCCGAGCGATTGTGGGATCCCACGCGAAAAAATTTTTTAAAGCGAAATGTTCATGCAGTATTGAATGTATGCTGGTCCTTTTAATGCCTAAGGTTGTCCCAATCTCACGATAGATCTTATATTAATGATATAATGATATTACAATATTAGTTTGCGCTCAGCGCCGGACCAACAACTGATTTTGGACACCTACAAGAAATTCGTCTTCGAGTGAACTACGACCTCGGTTGAATTCAACATATCGTCGATGAGCACTGGTCCTTGATGGGGCTCCATCGCCAAAGGGGGAGGGGGGTTAAGGCGTAAGGTGGTTCGGCCTAAAGGGGTTGGGGGGCCTGAGTAAAGGGCCTGAGTAAATTTTTTAAGTTAGTGTAAACAACACAAGGAACGCTCATATGTCAGGACGTTCTGAGTAAGTACAACCTCAAAAGAATCAAACTTTACGATAGAGCTGTCAGTTACCAGATTGCAACACTAGGGTTGCTCAATCCCGGAATATAAAAGGTAACCCTCGTATACAATAACTTGTGGTGGCCAGATGTGCTCATGGGGCGTAGCAGCCAGGAGCCTTGACTCTAGGAACGTCTTTTAGACACGTGTCCTTCACAAATCCCCACATAGGCTTCCATTTCAATGCTGTGGGCACTGCTGAATCTCTTCTAAAGCTTTTGCAAAAAAAGAGTTCGTTTTTTCGATCCCTGCGGACCCATGAATGCTCAAAAAGTGCAAGCGGCGTGGAAACATTCGGTCGTCCCCCAACATTAGTAACAGGAATTCTTCAGGGATGCAATCGTGGCAAGCAGGTCGTCAAGGAATGTTCCAAAATCGCAATTCGTCTCTCATACAACTTCCCCTATCACAAGCGAACAACGAGTTGCTATTGTGAAAAATCTGTTTCGGTGGGTTTCATCAGCACTTTGTTTTCTTCTTCCCTTCGTTTTCCTCTTCATGATATCGATTTTTCTTCGATTCTCACCCCAGAAGTATTTTTAAGAAACGCTAAAGAAGATGAGCTGGCCGTCTATGCATCTCTTCTGGCTGAAGGAAATTTCGCCCGTCTAGCTGAACTGGAACGAGAAAAAAGCGCCGGTGACGGCAAGGGATCAGAAATGCAACGAGAAATGCAACGAGTTCGAGATGCAATTAAGGTTGGTTCAGGGAAGTCTAACTCGTAGTCGGCTTAGAGTGGAGCCCTAGAGGACTTCAGTGACCTGTAGTTTTGCTTTTTGGAAATCTCGCTCCATTCTTGGTAAGGAACTTTTCTGACAGAGATCTTTAAGGCTTCGTTACTGTCAAAGGGCCAGAAAACGATGGACTTCTTAGTGCCAGCCGCACTGAAAACTGCTCGGAAGGAACAAAGTCAACAAATCAACGAAGAGGTATGGATATTGGATGGCCAAGCTGCTACGGATGAAGGCGGAGAACCTAAGAAACGTGCGGTCGCTTTACAGTCGCTACAGCTTTTCGGGTGGACCCCGACGGTGTGGTCAATTTTTGTTTATTTTCAGTTTCCTGTTTTTCAAATTTTGTTGTTGTTCAGTTTGTTCCTGCCTGTTGCTTTTCTAACGCTTTCACCTGCTGCTTTGCTTTGCACTTCGTTTCAGTTATACTTCACTACTTCCACTTTTCTCACATGCCATATTAGCCGCATCGCAACCGCACACGCTAACAGGTAGCTCCGCCTATAATCACTCCTTGTGGGCGAACTGATCAATTTTTTTTTATTTAAATGGGCATCTAACAAAATCATACCATGTGGATCGCCACTAAAGAGTGTTTATCGAGGGACACCAATTTTTTCTGACAATTTCTAATTTTTTGAATTTCTTTCTATTATCGATAACTTGCCAACAATTAGTCCAACTTAGCGAATGCCACCGACAACCACTTCGTCCAGCATCGAGAACGAACATCCAACCCGGTCACGAAAACATACTCATCGTCGAAATGTAGGTTTCAAGACAACTGTCACAATTTTGCCGCAAAAACGGCGCAGGTTGCCGCGTGCGGCGGTCTGGAACAGTTTGTCGATCCGTTATGTTTGGTAAAAGAACGAGCCTTTCCATTCAGAAACATAAGAAACTTATTCCGAACAAGAAGCTGTCATCAGAATGGTCTTCAGAATGGTCCAATAGGTCCGTCGAGGAACAGCCTACATCAAGTGAAGGTAGGTAGACGGGGTGTCAAAATAGGGGATGCGCTGAGTGGATGAGTGGAGAGTCTCTGATTGGGTCACTACCCTATCAACCAAAGAAGGGCCCTCCCAGATCGGTTTGCTCCCACATTCGGCGTGTTCACTGGTTCAGCAAAATCCTACTGGTCTGGTAAAAAAAGCCCAACCCCTTATTTTTCAGAAAGTCGTGCACCTCCTGGTCACTTCAGTGGAGTTCTCATCAATTTACTGAAGGAAGATGACATTATCACATCGCCTCACGTCAAGACGACTTACAAGAATATGTTCAAGGCGAGCACATTTTTGTGGAAAGCCTTTTTCTTATAGCTATTTCAGTTTTTTTTTTGGAAATTTTGAATGTCTTTTTCCGAAGGCCGAATACTCAAAATATCGGAAGGGATATTAGATATCCTTCTGAGTGTAATATGCTCCCAACAACTCCTTTGTAGCTCCCAGTAGCATTGGACAGCTCACCGGGTCTAACCCAGGGTTCGCAGGGTTTTCCGATGCACACCCTAGTAATCCACCTACCATACTGGTTGGAAAACAGTCTCGACCCAGAATCGTGGATAGCTCGCCTGGCGATTTTCCTATCACGATCTACTCCCAATATAGGCCTACGGTATGAGCTCGATTGATCGCTATCCCTTTCTAGCCTAATTTCGGGCGTTTCCTCGCTATCTATAGATTTCCTGTTCGCCTACCCGACTCATCTACTGTTTCTTCGACCGATATTAAACCAATATCGACTGATTTCGATCGGAAGTACGAGGTAAACTTATATAACTTATCAAGGAGTTATATTCGTTTACAGAACCAAAAAATCCCCCTAGACGCGTCAAAGGCCGTGTCGGTCACTGCACTATCTGGGAAAGGCAGCATGACAACAACATATATGAACGGAACTTCCGTCACAAAAGCGATCACGAGAGATGAAATCGTGGCCACCAGTCCAAAGGTAGGACACCTCTTCGAAGAGATGACTCCACAACGATAGCTACCGTATTTCTACGCTTAGCTAGCTATTTGTAATAGTTTTGCGTATTTTTTTTTCAAATGTAGGCATCACTGCATTGAAAAATCATTGCAAATATGTGGACATACCTCCGACGCTGAGATGGTTGAGATTTCAGCAGGCTGAGAACATCCCAGTTTGGGTTAAGCCATGCAATCGATTTCCTTGCGGATTTTGGAAGTGGTTTAATGTTTTTGAAACCGATACAATCGCAAGTAAATGTTTGTTAATTACTAGTTTGGTCTCGCTTAAGACGCAGTAATCCCGCTCAGCGCATAAGAATCGTCTAATCCGAAACGGGGTTCGAACCCACGACGTGAGCGACTACGAACGACGCCTTTTGAAGGAACACC